CATTTGCCACGTCGTTAAAACTGTAGAATCACTGTGTTCACTGGATAGAAGAAGCCATTATAATGTAATATAAAACAAGAGAATTTTTCATCCTTTCTCATGAAGACAGCTAAATAAACCTAAGTTACACATTTTTAAATATCATTAGTTATAAAGATGAAATATCATTAACTGAAGGAAAGCAAAAGCACATGCTGGTGAGACTATGATTTCATTTCAAGTGGGACAGAGCAGGTTCAGTAAGCAAGATCAAAATAATGATTGAGTGCACTCTACTGAAAAGTCATGCCTTCCCCACAAATAATGTTTATATATTACTAAGAAACAATGTAACAAGAAGTACATTTTCATCAATGTGACACAAGAAGCAAAGTTAGAACAAAACTAAGATTTAGATTAAAAAAGACAGGGACTTGAGTGATGACTCTGAATGTAAAAGCACTGGTTTCTCTTGCCCAGAATCAGGGTGTGGTTCCCAGCACCCACATGAGAGCTAACAACTGTCTATAGTTACAGTTCCAGAGAATCTTAAACCCTCTTCTGGTCTCTATGGGCATTATACACACGGGTGTAGTTACATACATACAAAAACAACACCCACACATTTAAAAGAAGAGTAAATAAATACATAGAATCAGTAAGATACATGCTTGAATATAAACTATGACTGAAGTTATATTAAAATACCCATCACTTGATACGTCTGGGTCAGGGACCACTCCAGAGGGCTAGGCGCTACTCCTTGGCTCTACAGATTTCTCAAATACCAAGGTTTATCTATTTAGTAACTGGATTTGGGGGAGGGCGAAGGAGCACATAGATGCTGAGTTTAGAGAGTTACTCTACGTATTTGAAAAACTAACCTTTTTGGATGTATTTCTATTCTAACTTGCAGAATCAAAACTATCAGAATTTGAGCTTTAAGTCCAGAATACTACCAATCAGCAGAGCTATCCTAGTCCTGACTTACCCAGTACCTGCTGTGGATGACATTGTTAAACTTAAGTTGTTTATAGTTAAATTAACCTTCCTGAGCCATCCAGGGGAGATGTTCTAGTTCATTTCTGTAACTGTGATTAAATAAGCAACTTAAAAGAGAAAGAGTTTATTTTAGCTCCCAATTCCAGGATATTTCAGTGAAGTTAGGTAGCAAAATCTTAAAACAACTTACCATGTCACACCCACGGTCAAGAGAAGAGAGAAATAAAGGTATAAATGCTTGTGTGCTGGCTTATGCTTAGCTTGATTTTCTACTCTATACCATTCAGGAACTTCTGCTTAGTAAAAGGTGTGTCCTCTGGTTGTGTCTTCCTACATCAATTAACTTAATTAAGACAATCTCCCCTCCCCCAGATGAGCCAACCCAATGTAGGCAGTCCCTCTTTGAGCCTATCTTCCTAGGTGATTTTAAATTATGTCAATTTGACAGTTAAAGTTATCTTACAGGGGGAAATGGACTGGTGAGTTTCTTGGCTTGACTGTACAAAGGCCTACCCTAGTTGATAAGTGACTGCAGTCAGGTCAGCTTTGCCTGTAACAGTAGCAACCAGCATGCATTCCAATATCCTCAGAGAAAAGGCAGTTCCCATTAGATACTTGATGGGCTTCCAGAATCCAAGCTGAACGCCTATCAGAAGCCTGGTTTATACTCAGTCCTGACTTCCAGCTCAGGGGTAATTTCCTCTGGAATCAGATACAAGAAGCTATCACTCCAGTAAAGATAATCTCTGGTGTCATCCTCTATTTTTCTCACCTTTACCTCTGTGCCAGCCCTTTTGGTTCCAAAGTGTGCTTTTTTTTTTATCAATAAAACAATAGTGTCTTTGATTAGATCTGTTCCTGATGTATTTGTACTTAGGTCATTTTTTAGCAACCATATGAACATCAAATGCCTATCGGTTTAACTTTGACCAAGTTGTGTTGATTCCAAAAAAAAAAAATTGATTATTACCTATGCAAACAAGTTGTCAAAATAAGAAAATAATTTTTATGAAAATAATTCAAAGATGTAATTGAAAAAATAACAGAAACATCTGTTCCTGATGTATTTGTACTTAGGTCATTTTTTAGCAACCATATGAACATCAAATGCCTATCGGTTTAACTTTGACCAAGTTGTGTTGATTCCAAAAAAAAAAAATTGATTATTACCTATGCAAACAAGTTGTCAAAATAAGAAAATAATTTTTATGAAAATAATTCAAAGATGTAATTGAAAAAATAACAGAAAATTTATAAGCAAAATCCATTAGTAATTTACCTAGAGGATTTCAAGAATGAAAGGATACATACAATTGATATATAATTATAAAGAGGATTGGTAGATGTAAGATGAAAATTGATAGACTAAAGCTGTGTGCAGTGGCACTCTCCTTTAATTCCATTCAGGAGGCAAAGGCAGGCTGATCTCTCTGAGATCAAGCAGAACAGTCAGCCTAGTGAGTTCCAGGATAGCTGTGACTACAGGAAGACCTTCCTCAAAAAAAAATAATAAAATAAAAAAAACATAGACTAATATGTTGCTTTTATCTTTCTATTCAATATTAAAGGCTTTTGTTACAATCTGCCAACATAGCAGACTTACAATTAATTGAAAATTATCAGTGGAAAATATGACTGGTGAAGTCACATAACAACATGTATGAGGAATGTTTTAGACTAATGAATCCTGTTTTCCATTAAGACTATTCCTAGCTTTCTCCATAATTACATATTTTGAATTGATTAGGGTAAATCCTGTTTATTTAAAATGGTGTTAATGAGGTGTGGGACGGGAAGGAGTGGGCATGGATTTGATCAAAACACCATATACACATGTATGAAATTCTCAATAAAGTTTAAAAAAATGTTTTAAATAGAATTAATGAGGTGGATGAGGGGAGAACAGGGAAGAGGAGGGATATTTTGGAAGAGATAACTAACACTAAAGGCCTTTTGGAAAAGTCATATAGAGACCTACTACTGTAGAAATTTCCTAAAATATATAAGTACACAGAGATAAAAAGAGTTTAAATGGAATAATAGAGGGATAATGCCTGGTCTCAACACCACAGATGGGCAAGTAAAAAGCCCAGTGGCAGGAATGGGTTACTTATTCTGGAGTCATTAGCCAGTGAGGTCCCATAGACCACCAAACATTACTGGACATTGACATTGCTCTTGGTAACACTCAAGAATTTGACAGCAAGATCCTATTTCTGAAGATACTACATACTTGAGTCACAGAAAGTGGAGAAATCAAACTGGTACTGACTTCAACTTCATCCCTACTAGTTGGCATTCATACTACTGGAAGGGGCTATGCAAATTACCCAGAGGAGAAAAGTAATCATCAGTATTACCCAGCTGGGAATACTGCAAGTTACAATGAAGACTAGCCTTCAAGATACCCACTGGTACAATGGTGGAATGAATATTGGATTTCTGATTGAACTCAAGGGCTGCTCCATATTTTGTAACCCACACCTGCACCTATATTAGAAGCAAGAACCTGTGGGTAGACAGGTTATAGCACCTAGGAGAGAACCTACTTCTAGTCTATTATTTTGCTAAATTGACCTAGCATAAACTGACTCTTAATGCATTATCACTATACCAATAGATTAGTGCACAGCCCTGTTCAGAGTAATTTCTTTTGACAGTAGACAGTGATTAACACCAAGAACACAACGACTCATCATGCAGAGGGTAAGAGACTTCAGAGTGCCCAACCCTAAATGGGAGTTCTATATCACATCCCTTTCTGCAGTGCTCAAGGATCTTTAAGGAAGAGGAAGTAAACAGATTATAAGACCCAACAGTCGTGGATAGCTACAATGAAACAGTATTTTCTTGACACAACAGAGCAGTTATATGTATGACCTCAGAGTGTTTATGAGAGCTTGCACAAGATCTGTTCAAGTACAGACCAAACAGAACTTCAGCTTGGATATAGGAGGTGGACAGAAATTTCCACCCATAGCTGAAGTGATGTTGGCAATCGATAGCTGATGGGAAACAGAGACTCATGTATATTTTTTATTGAATATTTGTGCATTTCATACAAAACATCTTAATCATCTTTATATCCCCTTCCCCATTCACACCTCCCAGGATTTCTCTTCCTTAATATTTCACGCATTCTATCCTATGCATTAAGGCCTATGGAATTACATACCCAGATGTCCCTCAGTGCAAGTTCATTCACTGGAGTCTAGTCAGTCTATCTAGAGTATTTCCCTTAAAAAAGATCAACTTAAACCTTAGTTTTCTTTCAGGGTGTGACTCCTGGTAGGCCAACCGCGATCCAGGGGACCCATACCCAAGAACATTTGGGCCTCACAAATTGGACTCAATGGGCTTTGAGTTCCAGGACAGCTGGAGCTAAAGAGAGACCCTGTCTCACAAAGACCAAATATATATAT